TTCAAGGATTAGTGGCAAATGTTTTGGATGAGGAAATTTTTATACCGCCTAATACTCTGGTAGGAGTACCACAGAACGTCGAGGTACTAAGGTCGGCACAGTGCATCGAACTGAGCAATACCAGCAGTAATGAAGTAACAATTAGGTCGGTCAATGTGACGGCCGAGGTGAAGAAAGAGGATGGCCGATCATATACATTCCCGGAAACTGAGGACCCAAAACTAAATGAATTGCTGAATAAATACAGTGATATATTTGCCTCGTATGAGGGTGACTTGGGGTACACGGAAGTAATAAAACACCAGATACCCTTACTACAAGACAAGCCGGTGGCGCAACCTTATCGAAGATTACCACCGAGTCACTACTCGGCGGTGAAAGCACACCTGAACGATCTACTAAAAAAGGGAATTATTACAACCAGCACGAGCCCGTATGCGGCACCGATAGTAGTGGTAAAAAAGAAGTCAGGGGAGATAAGACTGTGTTGTGATTACCGGAAATTGAACAATATCACAAGAAGGGATGCATTCCCCTTGCCTCGTATTGATGAATGTCTTGATGCGTTGGGGGGAGCAAGATTTTTTTCTACCTTGGATTTGGCTAGTGGCTACCACCAAGTGGCCATGCACCCCAACGATCAACATAAAACTGCATTTATTTCTCCACTGGGACTGTACGAGTGGACCCGTATGCCGTTTGGTTTGACTAATGCACCTGCTACATTCCAGCGAGTAATGCAGAGTGCTATGAGTGACTTTCTATTTCAAATAATGTTGGTGTACTTGGATGATATTCTAGTTTACTCAAAAACTTGGGAGGACCATCTAAAAAGATTAGAACAAGTGTTTCTCCGTCTTAGGGAGATAGGAGTAAAGCTGAACCCAGACAAATGCTGCTTTGGTCTAAAATCGGTACATTTTTTGGGTTATGTGATTTCGTCGGATGGCATCGCCACTGACCCAGATAAAATTGCAGCTGTTAAAGAATGGAAACAACCAACAACTACGGTAGAGGTCAGATCATTCTTGGGCTTTGCTTCCTATTATAGAAAATTTGTACCTGGTTTTGCAAAAATTGCCGCACCATTGCATGACTTGGTAAACAAAATGACAAAGAAACACAGTAAGGAGAAAAAGACAGGCAAAACACAACTGATAGGTGAATTATGGACTGATGATTGCCTGAACTCGTTTAAGCTATTGAAAAAGGCTTTGACAGAGGCGCCGATATTAGGATACGCAGACTTTGACAAACCATTTCGGCTAGAAATTGACGCCAGCTCTAAAGGTCTGGGAGCTGTGCTATCACAACAACAAAAGCAAGGTTTCAGGGTTATTGCGTATGCCAGTCGAGCTCTGAAGGGATCAGAGAAGAACATGACAAATTACAGCGCCATGAAACTAGAACTTTTGACATTAAAATGGGCTGTGACTGAAAAATTCAGGGACTATCTATTAGGTGCTAAATGTGTGGTATACACTGACAATAACCCCCTGAGTCACCTAAAGACAGCAAAGTTGGGATCCATCGAACAGAGATGGGCAGCAGAATTGGCACTCTTTGACCTGGAGATAAAATATCGCCCGGGGCGGTCCAATGGCAATGCGGACGCCTTATCAAGGAATCCTTACGAGAGACCGGGTGATGAGGAAGAAACGCTGACAGGAATATGTGAGGTCAGAGCGTCAACAGATATCCCTCATGGGGTGCAGGTGATGCAAAACGGACAGACCGGGGTGGAGCACATATCCACAGAGCCCGGACATATGGACAGTAGTGATTTTAATTGCCTTAATCACAAAAAGATAAGAGATGCCCAGAGAACGGATAGTGGCTTACAACCGCTATTGAAATACGTCCAGGAACAAAAATTCCCAGGAAGAAGGGAAAGAGAACAATTTGGTCGAGAAACAAAGAAAATACTGAGTCAGTGGGACCGTCTCAGTATAGAGGATGGTGTTCTCATGCGGAGAATTCATGACCAAATTGATGGGACAATACACCAGGTGGTGGTGCCTGGACAGTTACGAGAAGAAGTGCTAAGGTTGGCACATGACAGGGCAGGACACCAGGGTCAGGACAGGACGCACAAAATATTACGACGGAGGTGTTACTGGCCCAATATGGAAATGGAGGTCAAACGCCATTGTGAGGCTTGTGTGAGGTGTCAGCATGCGAAAATGCCAGTTGTCAAAATGAGACAGCCATCAGGACACCTACTAGCGACAAAACCACTAGAGATTGTTGCTATGGACTTTACGTCGTTGGAGCAATCATCGGATGGGACGGAACATGTGTTGGTAATGACTGATGTATTCACCAAATGGACGGTGGCGGTGCCCACGCGAGATCAGACTGCCAAAACAGTGGCAAAGGTCTTAATAGAACATTGGTTCATCAAATATGGCATTCCAAGACAATTACACTCTGACCAAGGAAGGGCTTTCGAGTCAGAAGTAATTAACCAACTGTGCAGCCACTACGGGATCAACAAAACTAGAACAACCACATTTAATCCGAAAGGAAACGGACAGTGTGAACGGTTCAACCGCAGCATGCATGATTTGCTGCGTACGCTAGAACCTGAACAGAAAAAACGTTGGCCTGATTTTCTCCCAGAGTTGGTATATCTATACAACTGCACACCCCATGCCACAACCGGCTTTGCGCCACACATGTTGCTGTTCGGACGGGAGGCTCGACTCCCTCTTGATTTGTTCCTAGGAAAAAGGGAGAGTATGACTGGCTCATACACCGCACTGGAATATGTGAATGAACATATGAGAAGAATTAGAGAAATGTACAGGGTAGTACAGGAAAGACTAGAACATGAAGCACGGCGAAGGGAACCGCCGGTACAGACAAAGGACCCGCCACTCAAACTGAATGACAGGGTATTACTGCGTAGCCACCCGTTAGGCAGAAACAAAATCCACGATCTCTGGGGACAGGAGATATGGCAAGTCGTGGAGATGCCTAAAGTAGCAGGTGGCCCCTTTAAGATAAGACCCATCGATCACGCCAAACCGGATCGGTGGGCGAATATTGCTCAATTAAAGAAATATTGGAATAGGCAAGAAGAGCAGTTACACACAAGGAAATCCAAGACAATTAGGGAACCGGAAGTTACAACGGAAATTCACATACCCATCCCGGAAACATATCACCATCAACAGAACAACCGCGATACACAAGTGGAGGATAACGGCAACAAAGAGGATCCCGTTCCTTCCAAAGGCAGAGAGACAATAGACCATCAGATAAGTGGTCCGCGGAGAAGTTTGAGAAACAGAAAGAATACTAAATTTTTTGTCAGCAACCATCAATTCTTTCATGGTCGCGCTGGTATGAAAACAGACTGTTCAAACAGTCATAAAAGTGAACTGGTGAAGGCACCAGACGAAAAAAAAGGTGGATGTGAATTCTAGAACTGTTTTGTGTCTCAGGAAGATGATGTAGACACAGTTGATATGTGAAATAGGTATAACTGTCAATCGTATACGAATGGGACGTCGTGGACAGTGAGTGGAACAATAAAATTTTTTTTTTACGATTGTGCGATTGACTTTGAAGGAGTGCACCTGCCAGGCGTTGTTTGTGGTGGAAAACACACAAAAAAAGCAGGGGTGGATGTAACTAGGGTAGGCCTAGCTACTAGTTACAAATCTGTTACAACTGATAACGAACGATAAGCCGAGACGCAGTATTACAGTCTGACGCAACATAGCAGGTGGCTTATTGGATCGGACTGATAACAATCTCAAAGCCAACGCGTGCTATTTTGGGAAACGGTACGAGGGGATTCAGACGGCCTGTCAACTTTGATTGATAGGATGCAGATGTGATTAAACGGACTGTACGTTGGAACTGCGCAACTAGTAGTCGGAGACATCGAGTACAAGTATCGATTACGGAGGAGTACAAGTACGAGGACGAGTACGAATACAATTGATAAATAGGAGGGGAGGACTGAACTCGTTCTCTTCCCTCTTCATCGCTCGCTTTAGATCAGTCAGTCTGTGTGACATATCAAGTTGGTTATATTGTGTTAAGAAGGACAATAGACATGTGGATTCAGTTATATGAAGCCTAGTGAGGACTGTTAGGGGTCAGTTGATTCAGACTATTATTGTGAAACATTCCTGTTGATTCATTGTGTTATATTGAAGCATTTCTTGATTCATGTAATAAAAGGATCAATAGCGAACCTGCATCTTCGAGTCTTTCTACTGTAGTCGATGTTGTGTAGCATGAGTGGTTCAACTCGTTACAATTGGCGTTGTCGGGCAGGATAGACTCGGGGAAGGTCACATATATATATATATATATATATATATATATATATATATATATATATATATATATATATATATATATGTACATTCTATACATTCTTTGGGAAGCCATTTTATTCATTTAGAGATTTCTTTATTTACAAATAACTTGACAACAATAACTGAAAAATTTATAAGGTTTGTGCAGCTTATTTATTATGTCTTTCAAGAAAACGAATTTCAATTTAAAACAAAAACAAAGTGCTCTACCTCTGTGGTTTAATTTGGTAATTTTTTTTTTTTTTTTTTGGTGGGTCGGGGAGTATGTGTTATGACAGTGTCCAGTAATGCCACATAAATGCAAGGGGTGATAGATTACTGTCAGTTAACTTGATCCTTGTAACTCTTTGGGTGGCACCAAATCTAAACCAGCATGTATTTTAGAGATGGGGGTGGGAGGACGAGAATCCTTGTAATTCTTAGAGTGGCATCATGCCTAAATCAGTATGTATTTTTGAGATGTGGGCATTTTATTTTTGTAATTCTTAGAGTGGCAGCATATCAAAACCAGACGAGAATCCTTGTAATTCTTAGAGTGGCATCATACCTAAATCAGTGTGTATTCTTGAGAAGGGAGGGGGGGGGGGGGGGCACATGATTCTTGTAGTTTTTAGACTGGCAACATGTTTAAACTAGCAATTTTTTAGAAAGAAAACAAACTACTGGTGTGTATAAGAAGCTTTTTAATGTATATTCAATAGAAGGCATTGTCCACTACAGATAGAAGAAACAGACAACAGTCAGTGTTATACAATAATATAACAGGTTTATACACAATACAATTTCCTTTATACAAAAAAAACAATTTTGTAATACATAAAATAATTAGCCTAGCCTGCACTTAAATATTTGTTTCTTTTTAATTTAAATATTTATTTTAACACTTGACACACATTTTTTTTAACAAAGTTGTGGTAATCAGTTCCATTAGTTCAACTGTAATAGTGGTTGTCTCCCTTAACTGTTTAATTACTTAAGAGGAAAGTTCTCTACAACAATATGAAAATATTTACAATGTGAAAAGTGAACATAAAATTATTTACCTTGTGAAGATTTAACACAATTGTTTACACTGATATTTGTTAGCAATTTGTTTTTTAAAACGATTAGGTTAATTAGTAACACATTTTAAACATATATACTAAAAGATGACAACATAATTATGAGCTCAGGATTTGTAGGTCTGCTGATATGCAGGACTAATTTGTTAATATTTATGAAATATCGGAATGAACTGAACTGAACATAAAAAACTAAATTAGGCACTAATCGATATAGCAATAGATAAACCCAAGCTGAAAAAAACATATCTGAAAGACACACTTCACCTAACGGTTTTGTAGACATATATTCTGTCATAAATTAACAGGCACTTAAACCAAGGCTAGAAACATACATTGATTTCTTTTATTTCTAGGCTTTATTTGATATGTTTTAATTTTTTTTTAAATCTACCTAACACTAGAGGCTCCAGAGATACTGTGTTTACAGTGATTTTTGAATAACAAAATTGAAATGCAGGACTAAAACCCAAACCAGATTTCTACACCTTTCTGAATGATTTCCCCCCCCCCCCCCTGTGTTTAACTGTGTGAGTAGTAAAAAAATGTAATATCTATAGGCATAACTGTATGAAAAAGAAACTTAAGACTTTCTACTTCAAAAATATTTTTCAATGTGAGTATTCATCTAATGAGATATATTCAACAGTTTTAGGTCCTCTGCTTGTTCATAATAAAAAAACCAAATGTCTTGTGATTTTCTCCTTAAAAATAGACTTCAAACATATTTTGCCATATGTGTGCCAGTGTAATGAGATATATAGGCCTATAGCAATTTTAGATCCCCTGCTTTTTAATTAAAAAACAAACAAAAAAGTGCCTTGATTTTTTTTTCTACTTCAAAAAATTTGCTATTTTATTGTGTCCATCTAATGTGAAACATATAATAATTTTAGATCCCCTTCTTAAATTTTATAACTCAACATACAATTCTGAGAAAAAAAGAATGTTATACATTTTTTTTTAAAAGAAGGCATTTCATTCAACTGATATACAGGATGAAGACAGGCATTTTTAAATCCTGCTAGAGACAAACATGTAACTAAACTTTCTTAGAGATTGATTTTGAAGTGAAAATATATGTTAGTTTCATTTTAATACATTAATATAACACTAGACTATATGTAAATAATAATTTCAGAAATGAAATTGACCATATACAAAAACTGTCCTGGAAATAGGGAGATTAGCACTATGCCCAGCCGCCTTTAGTTTCCCCAACCTTTGATAGGTACCCATTAGAGCTGGGTTGACTCAGGGACATCCTACAGAATCAAGCCCAGGATCCTAACTCAAGACTTTTGGGTTAGTAGTTGTGCGCTCTACCATGGACAGCCACAAATTTCCCCAAACAAATCAATGTTTTTCCCAGGCGGACAAAGAAACATCAACAAAATATGGCCGCACACGTAGATAAAAAATGTAAGTTATAAATACCTCTCTTTCATCGCTCTATATGCCGATAGCTTTTTATTATACAAATTTCAATGCTAATGAGTTAAGTCCATGTAAAAGAAATAAAAACCCGAAAAAAAAAATTGATAAACTGATTAAAATAAATGCTACTCATGGTTTGAAGAGAGAAAAAAATGTAAGCAAAGCTGGTGAAATAACAAACAATTGCATAAAAAAATCATTAGTAACAAAAAGGTGTTATTTTCAAATCTTATAGTAAAAAAAAAACTCAACAGAAGCTGCCGCATGCTTTATCATTCCTTTAAAAAAAAATTCAATCACAAATTGTGACTGGTCAAAACGTAAACTTATTCCTTATCTTAAATACATGTTAACTTGTTTATTTTTATGAAATATATACGATTATAACTAGTGTCTAGATAAACAGAAGTATCTACAAAACTGATGGACAGGCCAATGTTTAAATGTACACAATATTTACACTACAAGTTATATGCACTGACCTAAAAAGGCACAATGTAAACTTTAAATATCACATTTTTTAAAAAAAAAGGTAACTTTTGAATTCCACTTGTTTTTTTTCCCCAACTTTTTTTATCATTCCCATTTAAATGGGCCCAATAAATTTTTATATCTATGGCTAAGCCTTCGGTGAAGGGCTAAAGAAAAAAAGTATGTACAAATAACAAAACTAATGTACAGATAACTGGAAAAATATTTACACGCTGATAAAAATAATAACATTGATACAATACGAAACTTCTTGTGATGGTCACTTTACAAGTTAGTCTGATATAAGTTACGGGTTATGCCAAGTTAAAATTATTATGCATCAGAATGACTGGTCAAAAATAAATTTGTAAATAATGTCAATTCTTATATAGTTCATACATCAAAACTTTGACAAACTCTCAAACTTCAACCATTAAAAAAATGTTCATTAAAAACTGTCCACACACAAAAAAAAAAGCTTTTTTGATTTTAGTTCCAACTTTCAAGTATTATTTTTTACCTAACACCTAACCTTTGACCCTTCTGTGTCAGTAACTTATCGAACAGGTTTCAGACAGTTGTTCAGGCGCTGCTGATCCACAGGGCTCAGAGATTGCTTTAATGATTCGGCTATTTTCAGACAAGTTGATCCGTCAAAAGCCTGTTGCAATATAAAACAAAATAAATTATTATCTTCACAATACAGCATACAGAATTATTTTCCAGTAAAACACATCAAACTAAGCAAAGCTACCCTTTAACAATTTTATAATTCATGTTTATACAGTCATACAGTCCAAAACTTCTGAGTAAATTTCTTGCTTAATACTTTTAAATTATAATTTAATCACCTAATGTTATAGTTACCACAAAGAGTTTTTTATATGGTTTTATGTGTCAGCTAAGTTTTTTTTTTAAATTTATATCAGAAATCACTGATGTTTTAATGTGTACAGGAGTGTGTTATAAGGTGTGGAGAAGCATTGTGGGTTGTGATAACAATGTTTTAACATTAGTGATACATTATAGGGAAGGCCAAGGGAGATGTGGAAGCGCATGGCAGGGAAGCAGCTGACAGATCAGGCAGGACAGTCATGGATATATTCTAATAAGACTAAATAAGATTGCTCTAGTTTAAGGTGGTGAGGTAGGATTGTGTTACAGTTACCTGAGTTTTAAGGTAGTGGTGAGGTAGGATTGTTACCTGTGATTTAAGGTAGTGATGAGGTAGGATTGTATTACCTGTGTTTTAAGGTAGTGGTGAGGTAAGTTGCATTACTTGTATTTTAAGGTAGTGAGGTAAGATTATATTACCTGTGATTTAAGGTAGTGGTAAGGTAGGATTGTATTACCTGTTTTAAGGTAGTGGTTAGGTAAGATTGTGTTACCTGTGAATTAAGGTAGTGGTGAAGTAGGATTGTGTTACTTGTGTTTCAAGGGAGTTATGAGGTAAGATTATGTTACCTGCGTTTTAAGGTAGTGGTGAGGTAAGATTCTATTATGTGTTTTAAGTAAGGTAGTTGTGAGGTAGGATTTTATTACCTGTGTTTTAAGGTAGTGGTGAGGTAGGATTGTATTACCTGTGTTTTAACTAAGGTAGTGGTGAGGTAGGATTGTATTACCTGTGTTTTTAGGTAGGAGCCAAGTTTTGATGGGTCCACCAGCTGAAATGTTTTCTCAATCAAGTCAATGTCCCTGCTCTCTAGAGCATACATGAGGGAGGTCTTCCCACTCTGCTGGACCTGTAACACAAACACAAACCACTGATACACATTTCAGAGATACAATAATTTTTTCAAAGCGACATAAAAGGTAGTTCTCGTGTAGCAAGGCAAAATATACAGGGGAGCTAACCACGGCAATCTAATGTGTAAACTAATTTCAAAAGTATAAAATTAAAAGAAATATACATCTGAACTGTTGAGTCATTATAAAACAGCTTTATAGTCATTTTTTAAAATATAACCCTCACGTAAGTCATTTTAGTGCACAAGACATATTTTACATAGATGCTTTGTGCTTTAGAGGTGAAATTGATTAGAACCCAGTCTTCGCAAACTTTATTATTAATTTGGAAGAATTCGTTACAAAAGGACATCCAAAAGAAAGAAAAACAATAATTTTAGAACCTCCCTCCCCCAGCACTTCTGTGGATGTGTCCAATGTAGATGTGATAAATAGATGATCCCCATTAGAAGATGTGTATCTCACCTGCATGTTAGGGTCAGCCCCTGCGTGAATCAGAGACTGTATAATGGGGATGCTGTTCAGGCGTGTTCCATCTGCGTCCAGTTTACCGTGTGACCTGATAGCACAGTGCAGTGCGGTGTGACCTGGGAAAGAAAAAAATAATTTTTCATTATGCCATCTAATAATTTTAACTCTCTGTTTATTCATATTTTTATAATTGATGTCTTATTGAAGTTTCATGAATATGTATGCTGCATCTAATACTATTACATGAATTTGTATAACATGTATTTATATAAGCTATATCTTAGACATGATGAAGTAATATCTTAGACATGATGAAGTAATATCTTAGACATGATGAAGTAATATCTTAGACATGATGAAATTTATCATAGACATGATGAAATTATGTCTTAGACATGAATAGGTATGTTATGTATAAACATGTAGAATACATTTCTGAGACAATGTATTATGTTTAAATATGTACATTATATTTTAGACATGAATATGTATGTTATGTTTAAACATGTACATTATATTTAAGACATTAATATGTGTGTTATGTTTAAACATGTACATTATATTTAAGACATGAATATGTATGTTATGTTTAAATATGTGTATTTTACTTAAGACATGAAAATGTATGTTAACCCAAAGACAAATATGCCATATCAGTAAACATAAATGAACAATAACATATTCAAACACCTGAGACAAGCCATGCATGTCAGCACATGTTAACAACAGCTGTGTCTAGACACTCACCATCAGAGTTGACTTGGTTCAAGCAACAGCTGATATGGGAGGCATGGAGTAAAGCTTTCAGTGTGTCCAGGTAGGTTTCTCCCTTTGACGAGGCACAGTGTATAGCAGCCGACTTTTCACGGATACCAGAGGGCAGAATACACTGGAGGAATATTGTTTTTAAATATAGTTGCAGATAAATTTAAAGGAAGGATACACTCGAGAAATTAATTTTTTTTTATACATATAGTTGCATTTAAATTTAAGGGAAGAATATACTGGAAAGATATTTTTTACATACAGTTGAAGTTAAATTTAAATTTAAGGGTAGAATACATTGGAAAGATTTTTTTTTTACGTATTATTGAAGTTAAATTTAAGGACAAAATACATTGGAAAGATATTTTTTAACCATTTAGGTGCAATTAAATTTAAAGGCAATTACACTAGAAGGATAACTTTCTTAAACATAAAGTTGCAGTTAACTTTAATGGCAAATGTGATAATTTTGTTTTATAATTTGGTTGCAGATTAATTTAAAATAACGTTAGCTGCTATATAATTATGGGCAAATATGCTGTACAGATCAATTTTTTAAACCTTTATTCACAAGTGCATTTTAAAGAAAAATATGCTAAACAAAAAAAAAAAACAAATACCTCTGCAAAAGGGTTAATGTCTGCATTGTGCTCAATCAACAGTGTCACCATTTCAGGGTGGTTGGTACTCACTGCCAGGTAAAGTGGAGTCTAAAAAATAAAGAAACAACATTGATTTTGTTAAGTTGACTGCTTACAATACCTCAACTGACAAAGAACTAATGTTTTCAAAACACAATATTTCAACTGACTCCAATACTACAAGGGCCTAGCACTCTGGGCAACATTTCTAGAGCAATTTTTGGTAATCACCTCCCCTAAAGTATACATAGTCATACACTGTTCACTAACCTTCCTATTGTGTTCATGTCTGTGAGGCCCCTCCCCCATTATAATTATATCACCTGCCCCATTGTGTTTTGTATATCAATCATGTCTGTGAGCCCCCCCCCCCTTATAATTATATCACCAACCTGCCCCATTGTGTTCTGTATATCAATCATGTCTATGAGCCCCCCCCCCCTTATAATTATATCACCTGCCCCATTGTGTTTTGTATATCAATCATGTCTGTGACCCCCCCCCCCCCTTATAATTATATCACCAACCTGCCCCATTGTATTCTGTATATCAATCATGTCTGTGAGCTTCTCCCTGACAAGTCTCTCCAGCAGAGCCTGCACCATGTAGCAGTCAGCCTGACACACTGCCACATGCAGGTACCTGCAAACATAAACAAAAATTTAATCATTACAACATAACATGTTGTAAACAGTTCAAACAGTAAAAAAGTGACTGCTATCACACAGACATGTGTTAAGGTTTGCATGTTTACTGTAGTTTACAGTTCAAAGAGTAAAAAAAGTTACTGCTATCACACAGACATTTGATAAGGGTAACATGTTTACTGTAGATTAAAGTTCAAAGAGTAAAAAATCACAGTTGTAACACAGAGATTTGATAAGATGTTAACAGTTCAACCAGTAACAAACCTAAAGAAATTACATAGAAATTTAACTAAAGGCTTAACTTACGTGTCTCCGTCGTCATCCTTCTTCTGAAGATCTGTTGTGGACATTCCTGCAACCACTCGCCTGGCCAGATTGAGCAGTGTTGCTAAAAAAAGATTTAAAAATAAAACATGAAATGTCCTTATAACAATTTATTGTACTAAAAAATGTTCCTTAGAAAATTAACATTAATATAATTATCTAAAATTAATTTAGCAGTTTTTAAACATTCAACATTTTTGTAATCAAATTATGCTTTTTTAACATGTTTTATGTTTAGGTTTATTTAACAAAACAGCAAATATCAGAGAGAGTAGTTTGTAATAAAGATAGCTAGAAATTTCTACTGATGGGTGTAAGTCCCCATGGGACAATAGTCTAACCTAACCAATCAAGAATAATTCAGACACCTGAGAACACATGAGTCCAACTTACTTCCATTTGTTTTCTTGTTCTGTGGGGCTACAGGGGGGGTGGGGGGCTTGTTTTGGGTCACTGGGTTGTTGACAATAGGGGTCACTTCACCCACAGGCTTGTCTGGTGTCTCTGTCTTTGGTAGAATTGGCGTAAACCTAAACAAAATATTTTTTTTTTAAATTATTCAGTTGGTAATAATGGCATAGTCTGTGGTAGTATTGACATAAACCTAAACAATTTTTTTTAAATTATCCAGTTGGTAATAATAGTATGAATCTAAAATGATTTTAAAAATTAGTAGTACTTAATTTGCCACATGTGATGGCATATATTTGTATAATATATGGGATTGACGGTAAGGGGCCCAATAAGCAGTTTGTTGTGATAGAATATGTGTAGTATGTGAAAGAAGCTGTGAAAGATGAATGATGCTGTAGGAAAGAAGTGGATAGAAAAGAAGAGGTTTTAGTTGTGACTGCAGAAAAAAGAGACAAAATAGTTCCTGTTAGTTCAACAGCAATCAAAGTGTTGAATACACTGAGATAAGTCTGTATGTTGTCATAACTAGTTGTAGAAAGACAGTAGCAGAGAGTGTTTTTATAATACAAATAATCTTTAATGGAAAGAGTTTACACATACTAGTGGGTTTTTTCATAGCTTTTATCATTTACATATCTGTAAATAGAATGTGCCACACAGAAAAAAATGTAGGGTAACACCTTACATGTAGAATCGACAACTTAAATACTATTAAGAAGCAAGGTATAGTTACTCAGTATCAGTGGACTAATTGTCAAAATGTTCACATATCTTTACTTTAACCTAAGCCTTTTTTAAAGATGATTTAATTTACATTGTGATTTATCACCCTCATTTCACATTGCGACCTATCACCCTGTATTTATCAGCGCCAGATTTCTCTAAAAGATTGTCAGGCACCAACGCTAAGGTAAGACTCACCTAGGCTTGGTTGGGGGCGTGGTAATGAAAATCAAATTTCTACTGGTGACAACGACAGGCTGGCTTTGCTGTGGCTTCCTGTTGAGGGGAGGTATGGGAATTTTTCCAGTGGGCTGCTGTTGTGGAACACTGACTCCATTAGGCTGATACATCTTGGTGGCATTCTAGAGAAAATTTTCATTCATACAACACTGCTTTATTTATTTCCAAATAATAAATACACAAAAAAAAAGAAAAAAAAAATTTTTTAAACAACAAAATATTTGTTAATAGCTGTTCATCTCAATTGCTTATTGGTGTCCTGTGCTAAAGTGTTTCCCCAGTAACTAAATCAAAGACAGATATCTGCCAAAAATTTGTTAATAGCTGTTCATCTCAATTGCTTATTGGTGTCCTGTGCTAAAGTGTTTCCCCAGTAACTAAATCAAAGACAGATATCTGCCAAAAATTTGTTAATAGCTGTTCATCTCAATTGCTTATTGGTGTCCTGTGCTAAAGTGTTTCCCCAGTAACTAAATCAAAGACAGATATCTGCCAAAAATTTGTTAATAGCTGTTCATCTCAATTGCTTATTGGTGTCCTGTGCTAAAGTGTTTCCCCAGTAACTAAATCAAAGACAGATATCTGCCTGTGTCACTCACCGGGTTAAGTACAGGGAATTGGGGGGAGACAGTCGCTAAGGGATGAAGTGTGATGTTGTTCTGTTTTGACTGATCCACCGAAGGCTGTAAAAAAAAAAAGTCTCGTTCTTTAGCAACATCATTAATTAAGGAAGAATAATTCCAGTAGCTTAGCAACACATTAAACAAAAGAATTCCTGTTCTTTAGCAATAACATTAAACTAAAATTAAAATGGTTTCTGTTCCTTAGCAACAACATTTAACTAAAATAAGTCCAGTTCTTTTGCAACAAAATTAATTAACTACATGTTTATGATGGTCACTGACAAATGATGAATATTTCACTTTTTTATAGCATTTTTTTGTTCAACATCACTTCTAACACAGACTAAATGCTGCATAGACTTACCTTGGGAGCTTCAAAAGTGAATTTACTTGTTGGTTCTTCTATAATGTTGGGGATGTTTTCTTTGAACTGGTTGACCAGGTGGTCAGCGGGGGCACAGTTGGAGTGGACTTTACTCTTGGCGCAGGTCAAGAGGTCGTTGCCAGCCACTTCCAAGGCTTCACTCAGGAGAGCCAGATGTTCAGTGACATAGGAGCTCGTGTAGTTATCCTCTGCGGGGTTACTTTGGGGGGTGACCTCAAAGTTCTGCTGAAGTTTTAAAATGAACATTTTGAAAATAATGAAATAAATATTTAGAAATGTATAAACTACTTTACATTAAAGAAAAATATGAACATTTTAAAAATCTGTGTAACTTAAAATACTGAGAAGGTATGTAATACTAACAGACTACTTTTGGGTTTAATTATAACTAATAAAATATATATTTTATTCTCTGCAAATATCTGTGACCATCTACTACATGTTGGGTTGTTGTATACAGAACCAAGCTAAACTATTTAATCTTGATACACATTTGTGTATACTACATCTCCCCCCCCCCCCCCTCTCCCAATCATTTTTTTTTAAGTTTTTATTTTTCAATCAATATAGCCAGATAACTAAAACCCTCTTCTCTTCCCCCCCCCCCCCCCCACCCCATCATTTCTTATTTTCTTCTCAGAACAATCAGGGGAGGGAAACAAGCTAAAAGCATGTTTTTGAATCACAAGTTATTACAAAAGGATTTACTTGCTGCAGCTGCAATGGCTCTGGGTAGTTGTACTCGGTCATCTCATGGGCAGGTGAGCAGTAGGTGGGCTGCTGTGGGGGTGACTGGGGGTGTGGGGGTGACATGGTGTATGGTGGCGTCATGTGGGACAACCCGACGTAGGGCGACCTCACTGTGCGGGGGCTCATGCCAACCTGCCTTGGGCTACGGACCTGTTGAGATAAATGTGTTGATGAATTTATACATCTATGGGGGTTTGGTTAAATAAGAAAATAGACAAAGATCTGTTGAGATAAATGTGTCGATGAATTTATCAATCAGTTCTATGGGGTTTTGGTTAAATAAGAAAATAGACAAAGATCTGTTGAGATAAATCTGGTTTGGTTATATAGGAAAATAGACAATGACCCTATAATTTATAATAATGATGATGATGATGAGCAAAAAAAAATTACTAGCACTCACATCATCTGCCATAGGGCTATTGACACCAGAGTCTGCTGACAAGTTGGAGGGGGGTGGGGAAAAGCTGGTCCCAGAGGGCGATGCCCCAGAGGCATCCATCATGGAGTATGGGCTGGGGGCCGGTGAAGACTGTGACCCTGGGTCGCTGCCGTAGCCGTCGCTGGCAACATCATCGCTGCTCCAGCGCTTGTTCTTGTAGTCCTCTATCTGCTGGACGGGCTGGTACTCCTTGGGTGGGATGTAGTTGAATCCAGCGTAGAAGTCTGTCTCTAGTTCTTTAGTGAACAAGTTGTCATCCAGAAAGTCATCTGGGAAGCCCTGGCACAGCTGTAGGTTAGCATCAGGGACGAGATCCCCAGACTGTATCATTGTGCTGCCAGACAGCTGGGTTTGAAGTACAACCTTTGGAGAAATACATTTTTAATAATAATTAAGTTATTACTTAATTTAAAAAAAAACTTTATTTTAAAATTACAATTTAGTCATTATTTTTTTTAACAGAAAATAAAAATAAAGGAAGTTTTTGTTTTAAAATTAAGAAACGAGACTTAAAAAGTGATAAGTGGGACTTTACAACAGACATTTTTATAACAAATAGTTGCACAGAACCAAGGCAGCCTTTGCCTTTAGTCAAGTGGTTACACCTGCCTCAAACCCTCACAATAAGAAACCCCACGTGAAAACCTGTCCCTAGTTCACTCATTTAGATAAATAATATAGTGCTGTACTATACTACCAACTTAGCATTAAAAATTCATGTTGTTTTTTTTTTAAATTTTCCTGATGCACAGTAAAACAGCCATTTTTAACCAATACATTCTTACAGAGTTAACTCTTGCAACATGTATACGATACATGTCTAGAAAAGAAACTCGCAATAGTTAATAAATGCTATATCAAAATATTTTACCCACGGAACGTGTATACTTACTTGTGAGCTTTTCTAGATCTGTTTAGTATACATGTCACAAGTGTAAATGCTGTTTTAACAAACAACGAACAGGTAGACATACAAGAAGAATAAAGCTTGAGAACCACAGACTTGTCTAGGCCTACCTTTTTTGTCTGTGGCAGTGCTCTTGAAGCCGCAGGTTCATTGAGGTTGTTCATTGGCATGTAGTTTGTGTTGATCTGTGTGTAGTTGTTTCCCATGACTGGAGGCTTGACGTACTTGGGGCACTCGAAGTATATGTCTTCCTGTTCCATCATCCTTTTCTGGTTCTGGCCGCAAGCCCCTGCCATCATGTTAGGCTGGTAGTTGTTGTAGCATGGGAAGTTGGGGGGCAGGTTCATCACTGTGGACAATTTGACAACTAAATGAAGCTTTGGTATAATATTTAATTGGAACAAAAAAACTAGTACATATTTCAAGGTTTCATTGGGGATTATGTGGTTGGGTGGTAGTTGTTGTAGCCTGGGTAGTTGGGTGGGAGGTTCCTCACTGTGGACAATTGGATTCTATTGTTACACACAACAAAATGAAACATTGGTATAATATTGGATTGGACTGTACATAAAACTAAATGAACTTATGAGAAAATAGAATTTGATAGTAACACAATCAAACACAATTGTACAGAGCTAAACGCATTAATGGGGAATGGTGCAGCAGGGTGGTGCAGTGCATGTCTGCTAATCTAAAGTCAAACTCCCAAGCCCTTCAACATAAGTTATGAAGCCTGCTAGCTGGGGGACATCCTAAAAGGAAAACATGCTACAGTCACTGGGCCATGAAGGGAACACTTGTTGACATAAATGTCAAATCATGTTGGTGGGGAACAAAACTTAAATATTTAATTCATACCAAAATCACAATAAATACAGAAAGAAAAATAGATGTATAATATACTAAACTTACTTTTAGCTGTAATCATATCTTTTTATGGTTATCTGGGATAATAGTAATTACTAAAACAGTTATAGAAAAGAGTTATGTCAATAATTTACCCATGTGATCTGGCATGACATTCCTGTACATTGTATTGTAGTTGACAGATGGGACACCATTGGTTGGACCTCTTGTTTCAAGCTCACCGTCTGGTTGAGCTTCATTCTCAGCACAATCCTGAAAAAAAGGTTTTTTTTTACAAGTGCTATAAATAAAATACAGGACAAACAATTAAAAGTTGGTACCAATCAACCCTTTAAGGCCGTATGGCCAATCGAATAGATGTAGTACAATTTATCTGTTTTTTTTTACACATTGGCATTTGAAGGGATTGTATAGCTGCCTTTACTTTTCTTCACTTAAATTGGGTACTAATTACAGCTGGATGAACTCAGGGATGCCCTAAAAACTCGTAAGAACCAAAAGTTAGATTTTCAAGCTAGCTAATTATGTGTTCTACTACCTGACCACACCATTCAAGAACTAAAAGTAAATATAACTCAATGATTAAAACTAAATGGCAACTATCCCTTCATATGCCAACATCAGAGAATCAGATAAACTATACTTTAATTCATCTACCCACTGGACCAACTAGCCCAAAAGTGCACTCACCTTATCAATTTACTTTTCTGGGTGGATTTTTTTTAAAAATATATCTTTTAAAAATGAAATAAAAACATACCTCATTGTCATCAAAGCTAGGTGCATCCAGCTTAACGAGTGCATCATACTTGGTCACTTCTTTCACGTCATCATTATCTGTCTTTTCATCTTTTTCGTTTTCATTGCTGCCATTTTCATCGTCCTCCTGTGGTTCTAGTTTCTGAGCAAAGAAGAGAAATAATTGTTAACAAACATTTTAACGCAAAAATCACTGTGTAAAGACAAATAAATAATTTATATCACGCAATTGAGTATTTAAATTTCTGTTCAAATACAAAAATTAAATGTTACATATTGCATGATATTACTTAGATTCAAAACCAGCATAAACAGGATTAACTAAAAATTGTACTACCCATTTAAAACATTTGCACATCCGAGCATATCAGTAAAATGTATGGTTGAAAATAAAATACAAGGTTAATTATAAAATGGTTCTATCATTAATAAAAAAAACATACTTTTATAAAATTGTTCTAATCTTAAATAAAATATTTTTTTTTTATTTTTACAAAAAATGTGATGTTAAAAAAATGTACATGGAGATGGCGTGGCAAAGCAGTACAGCGCTTGACTACTACAAAGGCGTACTGACCCATTCCGGCACCCGGGGCGAACTATCAATTTTTGCGCCCCTCCCCCCCCCCCCCCCCCAATTATGCATACATATTTGTTTTGTTTAGTAACGTCCGTCGTCCCCCCCTCCCCCAATTTAGAATGGTCGAGGCGTTTTTACCAGCTATTCTTTCTTTTTTTCCGCTGTCACAAATTTAACGTAGAAAGCAGTTAAGTAAGTCTGTAAAGCCATGTAGGAGTTTATATTCTTAGCCTCGACTGTGAATAATTCAGTAATACTGCTTAGAATAAGCTTTTAATGTACATTTCTATCCGGCCGCCCCACCCGCTCTTCCCTTGCTACACCTCTGGACTACTACCACCCCGAAAGCTGAACATAGTGCTGACCACATTATCCACTTGTATGTCAAGGTCATAGAAACAGATGAACTCTACTACAAACTGAAAAAGATGATGATTCAAACAATGCATTTTTAACCCAATACTCACCACTGGAGAGTGTTCTCTGTCAGATAAAGACAATGTCTTCAGCTGTTCTGTGAGCTCTATGTTAGAGACCCCATCTTCAATGTTACACAAGTTTAGTCCCTCTGTGATGGAATCCACTGTGCTCTTATCTTTTTCACCTTCTTTCAAACCCATGGTTATATTTTTATCTAGGAAGAGAAGATGACATAAAACATTAAGTTAAATACGGGCAATCGAAAAATAGAATAAGAAACTGAATGCATTCTGTATTCTAGAGCAAAAGAGGGAGCAGTAGGTCTAAATCTATGTAGAGAGGATAAAAATGCACCCCACTACAAATATTAAATAGGGCCTACATAAGACAGACTCCATAAAAATAAGCTTCAAAGTAGCCTATCTGTAATATAGGTCTATATATTTATGTTTATACATAGGCCTAGACCTATATATTTTTATATGCCTATTACTGGCATACCCACAAAAATATGGTATAAAATTTTATTTAATTAGTTTAAGTTAGTATAATTATTAATTTAGATTTAGGCCTAGATCTAAAACTTATTATAAAGATATCTAATAAGGGCCTAGTTAATTTTTTTTTAATTACTATTTTTTAGGCCTTTTAATGGCTAGTTAATCCAGAATTTGGCTTCCAACACTTAAAAAAGCAAGTGAAATGTAACAAATGTATGTAAACTAGTGCCAGTAAAACTTACAACAATGCCGACTCATTATAGACACTACTTTGTTAAACCCCGATGTTGAAGCCTTTCCTTGAAGCTTTAGTGAAGGCCTCTTAAAAAAAAACCCTAACAAAATGAACACGGCGGGGACTGACCTATCCCTGAACAATTTATTTTGTTTTTGCAAGCAATGACCTGCAGTTAGCCTACGGCACGACGTTTTAATCCGTAATGAAATCTGAACGAAGGCCCACACTGGCAAGTTAGGCAACAATCAACAAGTGTCAAGTATTAAATAATAATGAAAATAAAACATGAATTCAAATGAAGTCCAGCACTAAAAACAATATAATCTATGCTACTCTTTAGAATTTTTCGTTATGTTGTTTGTTCTACAAAATAAACATGTCTAAATACAGTTAAATAAAATAATAGCCTAGTAGATCTCTACATGTCTTGAGTTCGGCCTGACCTATAAAACTAAATAAAACCGCGACAAGATGGCGGCAACAAAACAAAACAAGCAGGCGCTATCGAGAGATTATTCGGCTACTAAACGTTTTTTTTTCTTTTTCTAAATATGGTCGCGGTCGCACTGTCCTCGTTGAAATATAGGCTAGCTGTTGGCCCCTTTTATTGGGTCGAGGCTTACACACGCAAGAATTAACTCTGCGACGTAAGCGAGGTTAACGGTTAATGAATGCGGCAGCAGAATTGTTTACATCAAGATCTTGTATAGATCAATCAATAAAAAATATGAGGGACTTCAGTAGTAGTAGTAGTAAACGAACGTTTACGAACAAATAGGCCTACATTCTAACCATAGTTCCGAGTTTCTTTCAAGCATCTCTTGGGGGGGGGGGGGGGGCGTAGTTGGGGGGGGGGGGGACGGGGACGATGACGCTCTATGCGCCGATCATAGGCGGCGCCAACCGGGGTATAAATTCTGAGCTAATTCTGAACTGCATTACTGAATGATACACAGTCAAATTGAAACTTAAAATAGACTTCTTGGCTGTACGGACTTAGGGGTCATCCATTTATGACGTCCACATGGGGGGAGGGGTCCGAAAAAAACTGACTTTGGTGGACGCATATGGACTTTAATAAGGGGGGGGGGTCCAAGTCCAAAAAAAAAAAATTGTGGACGTCATAAATGGATGACCCCTTATTTTTTATTCTTCTACATCTATTGTGTGACAGTAAATTAACAATTGTTAGGGGGAGGGCTCTTTCTCCTACGTGAATACCCCCCCCCCCCACCCCGATAATAAAAGTCTGAAAAGAACCCCACTGATATAGACTAGATCTATGATTCAAAATTTAGGCATTGTTTAGTTTTCATATTTTAAATGAAAGAAAATGGTTTTATGGGGGGGGGGGGGGGGTCACGTTCGTTTAACTTAAATGGCACGTTCAACTAAAATACTAGTTTATCCTAATCATATGCGAATATTGCCATCGTTCATACGGTATGGTTATTTTGTGGGCTTATTTAATATAGATCTATATCCGCGACGCAATAGAGAAATCCATTTAAAAAGAGAAGAGGCTTAATCTGCTGCAGCCCAACGGCTTTCCTGTGATTTTAATGTACATATTACCATAGCAAGACTGCACAAGCCAACTGTTACAACAATATAAGGAAGTAAAAAACCGTAAACAGGTTACACATGTTCAGTTGTACAGAGGTTTTTAATCGCAGCGAGACAGACATTTTTGTTCTTGTAACATGTGTTCAGCGTGTTTCCGTTCAAATCGATATCAATAAAAAACAAACTACGCGACCTCCTGATTTTCGATTAAGGTCTTGACAAACAAAATGGCGGCCAGGTAATGCAAGCCCTTGCAACTCCTTAAACTTTGATAAATGGTTTTTTTTTTTTTTAACGGCGAAGAAATATGTTTTGAGATTAATGAGCGTGCATGTATAGCGAGAATAGGGTGTGTTTTGTTTTAACGTGGGGTTTTCTGATATTGATTGTAATAATCAGTGGCGTAGCCAAGATCGTCTCGAGGGGGGGGGGGGGGGGTGTTCCAATTTTTACCCGGGAACTAACTTTCGATTTGCACCCCCCCTCAAACTTTCGATTTGCACCCCCACTCAAACAAACTTTCTATTTGGACCCCCCCCCCCCCTCAAACTTTCGATTTGCACCCCCCCCCCCTCAAACTTTCGATTTGCACCCCCTCAAACAAACTTTCTATTTGGACCCCCCCCCTCAAACTTTCGATTTGCACCCCCCCCCCCCTCAAACTTTCGATTTGCCCCCCCCCCCTCTCAAACTTTCGATCTGCACACCCCCTTCATACTTTTTATTTATATACCGAGGGGTCTATGGGGGGGGGGTTATGACCCCCCTAACCCCCCCCCCCCCCTTGTCTACGCCACTGGTAATAATCCTTTTTTACGCACAATCTTGAACGTCAGTCAGTATTATCAAGCAGGTACTGAAATAAAATGGAATCTCCGAGGAAAAGGTAAAAGAGGTCGAACAAGGAACACCTGACATAAAGTTGGGTTACACTTGAAGCCAAATAGAAATTTAAAAGAAAAAAGCAAAGGACGAAGAACTTTGGAGACTGCTGGTTAGCTTCCCATATCACGACAAGGACAACGGGTAGTATTGATGATTAAACTGAAACACAAATCTAAAGTATTTGCTTTGGCAGCACTAGCTATTCGAATATAGAGGTGTGGCTATAAGAAAAGTATCAACAATGATTTCATACAGCATAGTACATCGTACATGATATCTGTACACATGACCAAGAAAACTAGCATTACTAGCAACCTTTAATAAACTAAAAAGGCAATATCTGGAGCGGTGTTTCTTTCAGACTTTTTTCTCCGGGAAGAAGGACATTGGTAAAAGTATGTATTTTCTATATAATTCTATTTCGTTCTGTTGGGCGGTAGACGTTCTTCTGGGAGGGGGAGGGGGGCTCGTCCAGAAGAAGCTCTGGAGAGTAATCATATTCATATTAGAAATTTTAAGTTTTTAGAGACCCGTTTATCTAGCAGTAAGCAATGGCACCAGTGCTAGGATGTGCATGGAGCACTAAGTAACACAGACGGGTGGGGGTGTAATTCGTGTATGCTGGGGTGACGCCCTCAAAGTATGCTGAGGCAAATAGAAAAAAAAATAGTTTGACATGGCAATTGTTGACTTATCCTAGCCTCACGCGGGCCCATAAAACGACATTGTTAGAAGAACGTCATCAAAGAATTTGGAGATAAAGTCGTTTATGTTTTCTTTATAAATATATTATTATTATTAAAGTGCACGATTCACTGGCGTGTAAGTCTACGTCACCCCCCCCCCTTTTTTTTTTCTATGACCTATCCTAACGTTTAACATAACCTCCTTGAACTGAATCCAGCAATTAAAGACATATGAAGGGCGTATATGTTGACCACACCCCTGTTAAAAAACAACGTAGTTAAAATAAAATTGTTAGGCCAAATCCAGTGACCGAGTGTGTAGTATAGGAGTAGGCTTGTTGTCTTGATGTGTAGCCTACTTGCACGTGTATTACAATTTTACTGGATTACTGCGGGAAGGGAAATGGTTGAACCTCATACAGCTTGCGTGGATCCAGTGGCGTCACTAGGTCGGATGTCACCCCACCACCCTCAAATAATGCCAGATTTTTTATTTGGTGTCACCCCCTCTTCCTCTTCTTTTATAATTTGAACTACATAAAACGTTCTGAAAGTTTTACGATTTTTCGTCGTGGTGTCACCATCTAAATGGTATCACCCGGTGCGGACCCCACCCCAACCTGTTGACGCATTATTAACGTTGACCTTAGTCGCTGAAAGCAAACTACGACATACGATAGTTAAGTGTTTCCTTCTTCTTTAGTTTAAGTTTAAGTTTCCGTACTGAACAAAGCACTAGCTCAGCATTGTGTCGCCTGCCCTTGCTTGCGATCTTTATTTTCAAAGCTGTTTGTTGAAGAGCTACACGGCCCTTCACAACAAAAGGGAGATAACGCTCAAGTAAACTTCTCGAAGAACAGAAAATAACCTGAATGGAACAAGGACCCAATCGATACGCGTGACGTCAATATAGGACATGAAACTGGAGACGGCAATTTTACCTTTACATAAATTCTAACCAAAAAAAAAACGCTCGACAACAAAACAAAGTAAATCGATAAAAGCATGAAGAAAAACCGGTACTTGTGAATTTGTAAAAGGATAATTTTTTTCTCCACGCACTGTCCAAGATTGGAATCATAAAAAAAGAGGATGTTAGGTTGCCAGTAAAATTACATCGGTTTTGGGTGTTATAGCTATGACTAGAGTTTGTGTCGACATGGGTTAATTTTAGTTCATGGTTTACTAACAAGCCCTCTTTCAGATGACTCGGTTATGTCATCAGAAAACCACAAATTGTATCTATCATACCACAAACACCTAAATATAATGTAAGTATTAGTATACCAGCTATATCCCCATCGCTACCAAAAAACCGTATTCCTGATCCTAGCCTTGA